CAGTGTCCTCCAGCAGCTCTGGGAGGCCAGGTCAGAGTCTGCCCTGCCAGCTCCATGGCCTCAGCCCTGGCCACAAGGCTCAGCCGGCCATGTCATTGCCAGCTGCCCCCAGCACTAACACCTCCCCAGACTGGGCCCCTGCCCAGGCAGCCACATGCTGCATCCCTCTGACCCAGGACATGGCTGGGAGCTGCACTCCATCACTACCAGCAGGGACCAACCTGAGCTCCTAGGCGCACCAGCCCCACCCATGGGGTGAGCCCACCTGACCCCTGACCCTTCTTCCCTCCTCGCCTGGCCCACCCATGCTCCCCTTGCCCCCAGGCTCCCCCTCCACAGCACACAGGGAGATGGGAGACAGTGCAAAAGTTTATTGAGTGGCCTGTGCCACCATAGCAAGGTGGGCATAGACTTCTCATATGCCAAGGATGCATTGATGCTGGCAGCAATGTCGTCCTAAGCAGCGGGGGTATGGCTGTCCAGTGCAGCCAAAGGTAGCCCTCTGGGGAGTGCCAAAGGCTGTGGGGCAGCAAGGGATTGCCACCGCACCAATGAAGCTCAGGGTCCCATGCCAAGTGTGCAGGTGAACCTGGGGCACCATGGCCATCAGCAGCAGCAACAGGGCATAGTAGGTCAGGCACCCCTCAGTCTGCCCAAATAGCTCCTCATGCTGTACCCAGGACACTTGTAGCAGGGGCACATGCACCAGGGGAAGGAGTGGGTGGGGAGGGCAAACTGCTTCTGGATCATATGAATGTGTAGATGCACCCTGTAAAACAGGTATTAGATTCTGCTGGGAGGGGTGGCACAGGCAGGAGCAGAGAGAAAAAGCTGAAGTACTGTCAATGTGGGAGGGAAGGTTAGAACCCAGACAAGGTCACCCCTCTCTCAAAGACTCAGAGCTTTGCAACAGAGCATGCCATAGCCACTGCATGTTCAAAGGCCCATATGACCTTACCTCTCCTTCCAGCCTTATGAATTTAGGGAAACGCCACCCAGAAACTCAGCATACAGCACAGACAAGTAGATACAGCAAGGACCTTTAGATGCTGCTAATGCTATCCTGACCAGCAAGCTTTTACAGCTCTTAATTTAGACATTCTTGTCTCTCTGCTTGCTTCACTTCCCTCTGTCTTCATTCTTCCTGCATCTGCTCTCCATGTGCCCCTTTCTTCCCTCCTCTTCTTCTTTTTCCTTTCCTCCTTATCCTCCCTCCTTCCACTCCCTCCTTCCACTCCCTTTGTCACTGTTTAGCTAATCTCTTTCCAACAAAACCCAACTTCAAAAAAAAAAAAAGAAAGATCATTTGTTTGCAAACCAACATATTATTCACTCTGTTCTACATTACACCCTTTCCCCAAATCCTTGTCTGTCTTGTCTAGGACCATCTCCTACTCCTTATTCATATAATGAACAGCACAATGGGATCTTGTTGCAGCTTGGGTCCTATGATACAAAGCAATAATAATTTCATGTTTTAAATTGGAGTAAAAGAAAAGTGAAAACTGTGCAGAGCAAATGTCAAAAAGCAATGTTACCAGAACGGAGGAACTTGTTTTAAACACTCAAATTCACCCAAGCAAACCTAAAAAAGAAATGCTGTGCTTGGGATGTCCTCCTTTTCCCCCCCAAAACTCAGACAGAAAAATAATTGACAGGGCGCCACTGAGATGGATGATACAGCACTGATTTACAATGCAGGATCTAGCTCAAAGAATGACAAAGTAGTCAAAGAAAAGGCTAAATTCAAGATACACATGATCCACTTTGAAGTCACTAGTAGTTGTATTAATGTATCTAAGAGCACATATAGACTTAATTTTATGGTGTTTATTAAGCCTGTGTGAAGCTGCTAGTATTTGTTTCAGATTCAGATTCACTCGATTCGGGGGACATTGATTTGATTCAGTGATTTGAATCACTGTCCCAAATCAATTCAACTAAATCTGATTTGGAGATTCCATCAACGCTGAATCAACCAAATCTCTGAATCAAACAGGCCCCATCCGCAACCTGCTCTCCCAGCCTCTTCAATGGCTACTCTGCCAGCGTCCTGGCACTTTAAAAAAAAAAAGGCTCTAACTCACCAGATGCTGCTAGGCAAGGGTGCAATCCCCACTTCCCCCACTGCCCCACACTGCATGGGGGGGTGTTCTGCCATGAGCTCCAAGAAGCCCTGATGGCTGCTGCAGCAGCCGGTGAGTGCAGGGCTTTTTTTTGTTTAAAGAGCCTGGAGCCAGAGCCAGGTGGGGCAACTATCAATAGGGCTGGGAGAGCGGGTGGGGGATGGGGGCTCATGGCAGAGCCCCAAACACACTGCAGGTGAGTCAGGGGCAGCAGGGATTGCCCCCAGCCTGGCAGGAGCCTGTGAGTGAGAAGCGTAATTTTTTTTAAGAACCTAGAGGTGGGGCTAGGTGAGGCAGCCATTGATGGGCCTGGGAGACTGGGTGCAATCAGGGGGCACTCAGAGGGGCTGAGGGAATAGGCAGGGGATGGGGCCTGGCAGAGGCCCCCCTATGGTCCTCTATCTCCTCCCCCTACTTACACAGAGTCTGGGTCCTGCTCCCTGCAGCAGTGAGTGGGGACTGCCTGAATCTCTAAATGTCCCCGAAGCTCTCCGAATCTTTTCCGAATTGATTTGGAGAGCTTTGAATCAATTCGGGCCTTTTTATTGGTCTCCTGATTCGATTTGGATTCAGAGATTCAGCCACAGAAATCAGGCTGAATCTCTTCCAAATCAAATCAGCACCAAAGCTTCACATAGCCTTAGTGTTTCCTGTGTAAAGCTAAGAACTAAGTTAGAGGAAAGAGAGCCAGTATTGCAGTTCAGAGACTGAGGTGTTTCTGGAGTTGAACGTACCAAATCTTACACACCCTGAGAAGTGCCTCCTCCTTGGCAATGTTTCAAAGTAGTTGGCAGACTAATGCCCACTCAGCACTGAAACTTTCACAATGCATTTCTGTTAAGCTAAGTTGCTAGATAATTACTGTTGCCTACATAACCTGAAGTTAGTTCCAGAAGTAAACTCTACTGTCATCGGAAATCTTTATCATATGATTAATCAAAAATGTCCATTTATTTCTACAAGAGCACAGTATGAGTTAATAAATTCACCGAGACAGGCAAGTCAAGAAACTGTGCATATAGGACATGTCAGAAGAACAGAAGCTGGCTATGATCTAGATTCACAAGGGCTGACAAGAAACCACAAAATGCCAGAGCAATGTACAGTAATCCTTAAGTGAAATTCATTTTTCAGCAGAGAAACAAATTAAGGATGGTAATTCAATGATAAAAGAGGCAGGCCAGAACAGGTTCAAATGCTGAATAGTTCACAACATAATTAAAGCAGGATTATGAGGCTGTTAATCGTTTTATAATAGTTCAGCTTGAAATTAGGTCTGATGTGAATGCCCTTATAGTTGATTTGTTTGTATTATTATAATTACAAAGTGTTACATAGATTTAGTGCAGTAATACAATTTTTACTTATATTTAGCATGTTGCTTTTTCTTTCTTCGCTGCTTCTTTTTGTGCAAGTAGGCAAGGGGAAGAAGTGGAAGGAAGCGTCATAAATTTAGGTCAGATCAGATGATTTAGTAAGTCTCGTGTGGATTTACGTCTTATTAATAATTTTAATGCATTATGCCTTGACAACAATGATTTCAATCACTGCTGCTCTTACGTACGTCGTGACGTAAAAAGGCATAGATTTCTACAGGATTGGAACATATGCCTTAAAAAGGAAAATAAATTATAGTTCATATTACAAAGTGAAGTACATGGGCCATAGGCATATTTGTAGCTACATATAGGGTGCATCTATACCCACTGATACTATGCAGTCCCAGCAGCACATGGGTTGTTTTTTACCTTACGGTACAATAGCAATAAGCTACTGCTCAGCAGCAAATTCCTACTGTGCAGTAGCGGCGGTGTTATGGTTAGTGCCTGCCAATACTATGTTGCCATGGAGATGAGCTACATTGCCATAGCTCATCGATATGGCAATGTAGTGTCTCATGTAGATGAGCCCATAAAGTATGTATTTTCTATATACCTATATATATATGTTGTCATTCTATATTTGTACATGCACATACAAATATCCATTGTATCTTCCTACAAACATACATACTAGGCAGAATGTATTATTATTTTAATAAGACATCTATCAAGCAATGTATATTTGCAATATACATTTAAATGTTATTAAATTGTATTTAAATGCAATTAAATACATGTCATATACCGCTATTTGATATAATGCTGATAGAAGTTAGGAAGTAGAAAATGCTATTTTGCTGGAGAAAAATAAAGATTTTTGTGAGATTGGCAGGATCTCTCATGTATTCTACAATTACAGTTCTACAATACCAATCTGATAGGCTTAAAATAACAAGCACAACCGAGAAACAGATATTCAGGTTTATCTGAGATTAAATGAGAATAGCAATATAATATTACATGAGAAAACTCTGCTCCACATTTTCTGCAAACATTCTTGCTTATCTTATAGAAAAATACTAGGCAATTTGTTTTATTTTTTAACTCTGTTCAGTACCTGTACTTAATTGTTTACTTCTGTAATAATTAAGGATATCACACATCATTACCACATGTAGGAAAACAAGGCTTTCTAGCTATACTGAACAACAGTTTTCTCAATTGTAAAAAAATAATTTAAAAAATGGCATCACTATTTAAAATTCTTTAAATGGGCCACAATGGACTAAATCATAACTGGCTGTCAATGGAATTACAGTATGGCCATGGCACATAATTAGCAAAAGTTACAAGCTGGCTATAGGGAAAAAGACAAACATTATAAAGCTATAGTCAAAGGAAATCCAAAGTCCAGGGTGTTGTGTTTACCCCAAATGACTTTCATAATCTGACCAGGTAATTTTCTGTGGTAAGAGCTGTGAACACGGGAATTGTCATCTTCTAGGTAGTCTTTGTAAAAAAGCAATCCCATTCCACAAAAACAGGAGTTTTGTCCTCTAAGGGAAGTAGTTTATCCTATGGGAATTCAAAGTTACTGGGGGGATCCACTGGTTATTTACATCTCTGAAATACTATTGTGAAAATACTTATTTTTAAGGATCCAAGAAGTCCTGGGTGAGAAAGAGTTGTCTCTGTCCTTTGCATACACACCACTGTGACCCTGTTAAAGCCAAGGGCATCCTGGGCTCAGATCAGGTCAGTTCATTCTCATGCTGAAGCTTAACTCTGAACTCACTAAGCAAGTTGATGTTGGGTTCCTGTGGGGAATAAGGTCAGTATTTACCAGAAGTGAAAATGAAATGAACAGTAAATAAATCAAACAAGTTGTGAAATGGAATGTGTGGTATAAACAAAAGGGACTACTTATTATGACTGTCAAAATGTGTATCCTCATATAAAAATAATGATCAATTATAATATTTTCTCTGTGTTTGTTTCCTTTATATAGAAGGATTTCATGGGCAATACTGTTCTTTGGAATCTAGAGACATAATGAAGCATCTGCAAGTTTGGGAACCTGAAAGTGCAAGACCTTTGTTCTGGTATCAGAGGAAGACTTCCCCCAGGCACATATATATCTCATTACAACTATTCTGACACCTCTGAACATACAGAAGGTAATCTACATGCACCCCTACAGGCACCACTTAGCGCTCTTAATTGGTTCCTGAAAAAACGAGCGTTAAACTGAGCATTAAGCGAAACCGAAAGTATCTGACAACCCAAGATGGCGACCACGAGCATTATAACAAAACTTGTTGAGTGCTAAGTGAAATGAGGTATTAATTTAAAATGAGCTTTATAGTGAAATAGCTCTAAGCAAAACAGCATTAAGAGGGGGTTGCCCATATTGCAAATGTTTACAACATCCAATTGAGGCATAGTTACGTCAGCATGATAACCCCACCTACTACTGGGCATAGTAACTCTGCAGAAAACAAAATTATTTCTAAATGGTTCTATTTATGGCTATAATGGACCAATAGTACCAACTGGTTTGAGGCTTTTTTTCAGTTGAATTATTAATGCCCAAAACACTATTGTTACAGAATTTTCTGAAATATTTAACAACCTGACCTGGACAGAGTGATTGAAAAAATAACAATATACATAGAGCAACTTTTTTTTAAAATGACTTCAGAGTAATCCAAGAATGATTTTTATGCTGACCTATTTTGTATAGTAACACAAGGCAATAGTTTAATTTCTTTTTAAAATGTGAAATATCATTATGCCCAATGCTGTATATGTCTAAGTCAGTAATTCTCAGTCAGAGTGACTTGGCACCCTAGAATGCCCTGAGATCCTTTCAAGGGTGCCACAGGGTGTCATATTGTTAGCACTATTAGGTGTGAAAACATGATTTACGAGATAAACCCAGAGGGCTCCTACACACATGCAGGGAGCCTGCTTCAGTGTGCAGGAAATCCAGCATATCAGAGCAGGCTCAATCGAGTCTTCTGGAGCATGGAAATTGATGCAGTCCAGAAGCCTCATGAGTCACATGTATCAGTGTCACTGTGAATCTCTGTGCTGACAAAATGGCAACAGGGCACTTCAAAATAAAACACAACCAATGAACTTTAGTTCAAAGTGCCCTGCCACAATTTTTTCAGCACTGGGAACACGTGTAAAAATGCCCAGAGATTTCAAATAGGAATCCATAGTGCAAAAAACATTCTGACTTGTTGTGGCTTTTCTGAGTTATTTGCAACAGAAAAAATAATCTATTATTTTCCTTTAGTCAAAAATCTTGTGAAAACTAAGATCTGACATTTTCCAAGTGGTGCCTTGAGTCTATTAAGGTGCATCTTGAATCTGAAGACTGAGAATCACTGGTTTCAGCAGACAGTCATTCAGCTCTATTCCAAGTGACTTGTCTTCACAGACCAGTAATATATACTCATGTATTTCATAGTCCATGTATTATGAACCGATTGCTGGGGATACACTTGCCAAACATAGTCCCATAACTTCTTCCCATTTCAGATCTTTATTTATAAAATTGCAAAGATCCATATCTGAGTAATTTGTACATAAAATACAAATTCAAATAGAAGTACATACTAGGCGCAGCGTGAAGTTCTTTAGGATTTTCACTTAGTGGGCACATCTACATGTACATTTGCTCTGGGGTGGGTTTACTCTAAAGTAAATTACTCTAGAGTAAACCCACCCCGGGCAGGAGTCTACACAGTCAGGGAAGTAGGAGTAGATTTGCTGCTCATGGCAGCAGTCTGCTCCTGCCCCTGCCACCACCAAAGGAAGTGGGAGGCTCTGGCTGAAGCTGCCTGTGGGTGACAGCCATCTCCAAAAGACAGCCTCATGTGCTGGTCCAGGATCACCTGCTTCTCTGGCCCAGAGCAGCATGCAGAGTGCGGTGGCAGCACTCAGCCACTCTGTCTCTGCAACCTCTGCCTCCCACACCATGGTTTCTCCAGCCCTAGGCCCTGGCAGCAATGTCCACTGCCCTGGGCTCCCGCTGGCCCACCACAGAGACCATGGCCTGGTCCAGGGCAATCTCAGCCCTGGCGGCCCCATCCCTACTACAGGCAGCAGGAATTCCACTCCATCATGCTCCAGGCCATCACTGACCACCATGGTGCCTCCATGAACGTGAGCACTGGCTCAATGAGCGGTGCCCATGATGCACACATGATCCGCAAGCCTGCCCTGCCAGCCCTGGTGGAGAGTGGGCGCTTTACACCCAGGATGCTAGACTTCCAGCTGGGCACAATGGTGGTCCTGCCCCTCCTCATCAGGGATCCCCACCTACCTGCTCTTCCCTTGGCTCATGTGACCCTATAACAGCCAGCTAGACCCCCACCATCCCACCAGGCACACTTCAACTGGTGCCTGGGCCAGACCTGCACCTTGATGGAGTGTGCCTTTGGCCACTTCAAGGGATGTTTGCACACTCTCAGTGCTCACTTCATTCCTAGGCAAGGACAGGCTCCTGGCAGCACCTGCTGCTGCAGCTCCAGAGCCACACCCTACCTCCTCTTCTCCTGGAAGCCAGCCTGTCTCCTGTGCTGCTGTCAAGCCCATGGTACCCAAGTGCAGGGGGCATGGGGCTCCCAGCCAACTGGGACACAGAGCTGCTGTTCCCCCCTCCCTCCCCCAGGGGGCCTTTACAGAGAGGTGTCCTGGGGCCAACCCCCTCCTGTGCTGGTGCTGTGACCCAAGCATGCCCCTCTGCAAGTGTCCTGAGCACACTGCAAGGAGCTATTTGCATGGACCAAGGGGTGCCCAACCCATTACACCCTGCTGATGATGATCATCATGTTACCCCAGGCACATCTGTGAACCTGATATTGGATCCTGAGCTTCTACAATGTGGAGGGCAAGCCTGACCTGCCCCACAACCTCCTCCACTGCCTGGATGGAAACCTGTGACTAAGCTACATGTCCCTGTCCCCAGCAGCCAAGGAGGACATGACTGCCAACACTGACTCATTTCTCAGAATGTGAGAGGCCTGTGCCTGCCTAGCTGTGGGAGTACAGGCGGTTCAGTAAAGTTTTACACTGTCTCCTGCCCCTCTTCATGCTGTGGTGGGCAGGTCTTCATGGACCTGGAGGACCGTGGGTGGGCCAGCAGCAGGAACTGTGGCAGGGTCAGCGTCTGGGTACTCTCCCCAGTGCAGTGCTTACCTAGTAGTTGTGGCAAGCATGCTCGGCACTCTGAGTCAGTCCCCACTGGCAGTGAGAATGTGCAGGTCCTAGCAGTGTCCTGGGGTGCAGTGGTGTGGCATCCAACTGCCTGGGCAGGGCCCCTTCTGTGGAGGAACTGGAACTGCTGGAGGCCAACAGTGCCATGGCTAGCCTGGTCTTATGGTTCAGGCTGAGGACATGAAGCTGGAAGGCCAGGCACTAGCTCAGGCTCCCAGAGCTACTGAAGAAGGCTGGGGGTGGGAAGCTTGGTGAAACAGGCTCCTGGCAGGGGCCCTCCCCCAGTGACACATCACCATAGGTGCCAGGCTGCAGTGGAGGCTCAGTCAGACTACCCATGCATGTCATCTAGCTGCTGCATACAGGGCATGGACTTGTAGGCAGCCCCCAACCAGAGGTTGTGGTCAATGACCATGACCCACTGTGTCCACAAGGCCTTGACCTTTATGTGGCACTGACATGCCAACTGGTCATGCCTATGCTCCCGCATGTGACCTGACAGTCCCTCATAGACATGCACATTGGAGTGTCTGTTCTGTAGAAACTGGGTGAGGACCATGATAAGATCTGCAGATTTGCAATCTCCTCTTGGGACCAGTTAAGGTCCCAGAGTGTGGCATCAGGGAGGACACCAGCGTGGCTCCCTTGCTGGCTTGCTGGGCCTCCATGTGGCAGTCCTGGTGCTGATGAGCCTGGACAGCTGCCTGCAGCACCCAGCACAAGGGCACAGTGTAAAACAGGCAGGTGCACGGTGAGGGTGTGCTGGGTACCAGCAGTGTTATCTGGGCAGGCTGCTGCGGTTGACCTGGGGCCGGCTAGAGTGGGACCCAGTGGCCAGGAACTGGCTGCATGTGGCCCAGGATGCTGCCAAGCTTGCAGCATGGCAGCACAATGGTACAGGCCTGGCAGCCGCACAGCACCTTGGTGCCAGGGACCAGTGCCAGGGCCTGGCCAGGCTGCTGCAGATGGCCTGGGGCTTCTGCATGCAGTGGCTGGCTGCAGGTGGCCCAGGGCCCCAGTGTCCCCACAAGCTTTTAAGAGCCTTGGGCTGGGGCAGGCAAAGAGCCACCCCAGCCCTGGGGCTGGAGAAGTTCCCAATCCCAGGGCCCTGGGGCTGAACTGAGAGTGGCCCCCTGGTGGTGGGTATGGCCAGGAGCAAATTTCATCCCAGCTGTCAATCTCTTCCCACTTCCTGGGGCCCTGCAATGGGCCCCTGCCACCACCAGTGAGAGCTCCAGGCTCTGGCTGCAGCTGCCAGCACCTGGCAGCTATTTTGAAAGGGCAGCCCTGCTCACTGCTCCCTGACCAGCCAATTCTCTGACTAGAAGCAGCATACACAGCACAGGGACAGCACGTGGCAGCTCTCACCTCACTGCTTCTGTCTTCCCATGCCATGCCTGCGCCTACTCCTGCCCTTGCCTCTGGCAGTGGCAACCAGTGCTCTGGACTCCTGCTGGCCACTGTGCTGACCCTGCTGGCCTGACATCCTGACTACCACCTGGCCGATGGCCATCTCACCCCTTCCAGCTTCCCCACATGCAGCAACCACCTGCTAGGCCACCACACACCATTCCAGGGTTGCTGTCAC